GCTAAGGTCAAACAAGAGTTTGACAATATGAAAGTAAACAGAGTGATGATCAAACGCCCCATCCACCAAGACAATAACAAATGGAAGTGACCCTTTGCACGTTGTGAATGACCGGTGTTTATTAACTGCAAAGTGTTTTATAGCCTAATGAGATGCTTTTTTTGTTCTGTTTAAACTTTCGATCGGGTGTGACTGTCATACACAGACTGATTAGTTGTCACTGAAGCCTAGTTAAGAGGATTAGTGGAAAATTTTCTCACATCATTGGCGCATGGGTTCATGACCTCATTACATCACAAAGATCTTTTAAAAAAAAACAATTTATAAGAAACAGGAAAAATGGAATTGGAATTTGAATGGTGACCGATTAATCATGGTAAGCTGTTTTTGTTGGTTTAACCCGTAATTAAATCAATTTTTACCTAAAATTTTAAAAGCTTACGTTTGATTTATCTTGATAAAGAGAATAATATCTATTTTTTTCTATTATGCATAACGTTACAAACACCGACAAAAATAAATAATTATCATACTCATTTCAAATTCAAAGAAATGTAATTAAAATTTTTCGCATGTTGTTTTTACCACATTTTTAATCTTTTGAATCACTACATGCTGTAGATTTATCATGTTTTATAATCATAATAAACCATGAAAATCTATCATCCTCCAAAAATTTGTTTATAGAAGTGAAGTGAATGTAAATAATGATTATTAAGCTGGTATAAGAACGCTCTTTTGTGTGGTGATAAAGCATGCTGTATAAGACATATAGTATACATTGGGCCTGGAGCTCTGTCCTTCACTTTCTTACAGGTCAAGGGCCTGGGTACTATCTGTATCCCCCCTTCAATCCCTTGTAACTTCCATGTCAAACTCCTACTCCAGCAGCTTTCAATGCCAGTCTAAAACAAAACCCCAGTAATGTTGCCCCTCTTACCAATGGGTAATTTTTCTAAGGTCTGAATTCTAAGCTTTATTATGAGAATAAACATATTTATTACATTTTCAATTGTGATATATATTGTAATTTTTGTACTTAATTTTTCTTAATTGTACTTAATTGTTTTATAAGTACATGTAAGTTTGACAACCTGTAATTATTTGACTACACTCTGCTTTTTATATTATGTAAAATGGTTGTACAGTGTATGCCTACATGTTTGTTAAATCAATAAATGAAATTGAATTGTAATTTATTGAATAGAAGTGATATTTTTGAAAGTGATTTATCTCAGTGACACAATGAAAAATAAAAATATCAAAAGTGATGAAAGGTGCTATAAAGAAAATACTCGCTGCTATAATACTGTGAGGGTAGATATTAAACTATATTCCTGTCACAAAATAAAACTGCTAAAGTTTCTCCAAATTGTTGTTAATATAGATCTATGATTACAATTTTCAGTCTCACAAAAGCTACGCTGTAGTCTTAAACACTTACAACGTCTCAAATGAAATGTTTTGGCTTACACCACATTACGAAAAGGAACATCAGAGAAGATGTAACAAACAGAAAATCCAATGTGTTTTAGTGAGATCTGGATTTTTTTTTTTCACTTGTGATAGACAGGATTTTTGATATTTGCATTTGTGAAAATACCAAAAAATCCTGTCTCACACATGAAATAAATTCCATATCCAACTACAAGACATTGAGTAACCTCTTTATATATACATGTATTTATTTATCATATGTATGTTAGATGAAAATTTTTTGAATGTGAATGAAATGTTTCTATTGTTGTTTACATATGTAATGTTGTATTGGTTTCATAATTGTATAGAGTCTGACATTCTAAGCACTTAAAACATGCAACAATCATGTACATCTACATGATTTGCAGGCAGTTTAGAGGCTATCAGCAGAAGGAATGTTTGTTGTATGATGAATCAGCAGAATTTTAAGAAAATTTCTGTATGTCAGCAAAATTATATTATCAGAAATATATCTATTGTGACAGATCAAACCCTGTCTTTCCAGCAGGAGTGAATCCAAGATTTTATGGCTGACTCGGAAAATTTTTTAATAAGAAAAAAAAAACACCCCCTCCAACTCAATTTTCATCAGTGCACAACTCTCCTTAGCATTTTTAGAGGGGTCTGTTTTTCCTGGGGGTGGGGATGTATGAACTCTTATTTTTCATGTTTTTAGCTCACCTGAGCTGAAAGCTCAAGTGAGCTTTTCTGATCACCCGTTGTCCGTCGTCTGTCCGTCTGTCTGTCTAGCTGTCCGTCCATCCGTAAACTTTTCACATTTTCAACTTCTTCTCAAGAACCATTGGGTCAATTTTAACCAAATTTGGTACAAAGCATCCTTCAGTGAAGGGGAGTTAAAATTGTTAAAATAAAGGGCCAAACCCCCTTACAAGGGGAGATAATCAAGAAAAGACAAAAATAGGGTGGGGTCATTAAAAAATCTTCTTCTCAAGAACCACTGGGCCAGAAAAACTGAAACTTATGTGGAAGCATCCTGGGGTAGTGTAGATTCTAAATTGTTAAAATCATATGCATGACCCCCGGGGGAAGGGCGGGGCCACAATAGGGAATCCAAGTTTTACATTGAAATATATAGAAAAAATCTTTAAAAATCTTCCTCTCAAGAACCATTGGGCCAGAAAAGCTGAAACTTACGTGGAAGCATCCTTGGGTAGTGTAGATTCTAAATCGTTAAAATCATGACCCCCGGGGGAAGGGTGGGGCCACAATAGTAAAACCAAGTTTTACATTGAAATACTAAGAAAAAATCTTTAAAAATCTTCTTTTCAAGAACCACTTGGCCAGAAAAGCTGAAACTTATGTGGAAGCATGCTGGGGTAGTGTAAATTCTAAATTGAAAAAATCATGACCCCCGGGGGAAGGGCGGGGCCATAATAGGGAATCCAAGTTTTACATAGAAATATATAGAAAAAATCTTTAAAAATCTTCTTCTCAAGAACCATTGGGACAGAAAAGCTGAAACTTATGTGGAAGCATCCTTGGGTAGTGTAGATTCTAAATTGTTAAAATCATGACCCCCGGGGGAAGGGTGGGGCCACAATAGTAAAACCAAGTTTTACATTGAAATACTAAGAAAAAAAATCTTCATCTCAAGAACCACTTGGTCAGAAAAGCTAAGACTTTTGTAGAAGCATCCTGGGGCAGCGTAGATTCTAAACTATTCAAATCTTGACCCCTGGGGGTAGGGCGGGGCCACAATAGGTAATCCAAGTTTTACATTGAAATATATAGGAAAAATCTTTAAAAATTTTCTCCTCAAGAATCTCTTGGCCAGTAAAGCTGAAACTTATTTGGAAACATCCTTGGGTAGTGTAGATTTTAAATTGTTAAAATCATGACCCCCGTGGGTAGGGCGGGGCCACAAGTATTACAAAAAGATTGTCTGGTGAAGAACAGCAGGGCCAAAGTTATTCAGGTGAGCGTTGTGGCCCATGGGCCTCTTGTTGTTACTTTCACATGTTTAGAAATATAATATAAAATTAAAGTTCTCTGAAAATTGCTGGGGGGGACGAAGTCCCCCCCCCCTATACTAAATACCCCCCCTTTCCAGTGTTGCTTATTAAATATTGCTTATTATTCCTGTATATATTCAATATTTGTATGTATTAAGCTGCTTATCAAAAAACATTTGATGTTTTGATGTATTTGTATTAGAATGCTTAATTATTAGTACATACTGTAAATGAATCATGATAGACACAGTTGACCTATAACTAGCTATATATACAGTTAAACTGGGTTATAAAGAACTGGCTTATAAGGAAATCTGTAAATGAATCATTCATGATATAGACACAGTTGAGCTATAACTAGGACGTGCTATATACAGTAAAACTTGGATATAAAGAACTGGCTTATAAGGAAATCTCATTTATAAGGAAATATCTAGGAATCACAGAGAGGACTTTGCACTGTTTTTCTGTTACGGATATAAAGAATCTCAGATAAAAGGAAGGAAAATTAGAGGTCCCAGTAACTTGCTTATACTGTAAACCAACTATTATACGCATCTTCTTTTATTGGCCATTCATTAGTTTGAAATTAATCCGCAACAATTAATTTTCACGACTGAGGAAACATTCTCTAAAAATACAAAGCAAAATAAGTGGTTCATGGCGATTAATATTCGCAAGTTAAAGTAGGTCGCGAAACTCGCAGTTATTTCATGCACACGAATAAAAGTTGGTTTATAGTAACCAGGCTTTACTGTACTTATCTGTACTGACTGATGTTTACTACAGCAATGTTTTTTGTCTAGAGCTACACAGGATATATCCTGATGACAGTTTAGCTTTTCCTGGGACATATTAGACTACCATGTTTACTGATTAATGCCATACAATAAATGATTGATTGGTCTCTTTGCAGGGTAACATTGTGACTATAGCTGAGCTTATACCAAGGATTCTGTATACTTATCTTTACTAATTCATGTTTTATTTTGTACAGTTATGTTTTTTATGTTTCTACACATACAGGCTGAGTATATTATGATGACATTTGAACTACACCTGGGATGCTGATAATTCATGTTTTATGTTGTACACACAAGCACTTCCCATTTTAAACCTTCCTCTTCATTGATAAAAATATCCCCATACTATAATAATGTTAAAATTCAAGTTTGGGGATATTTCTATCAATGAAGGGAAAGGTTTAAAATATCAAGTGTCTGTGGTCGTACAGTAACATTTTATGTGTCTGTATATGTAACAGGTTGATGATAAAGTGGGGATGGTTGAGCTGTGCTATCCTGCTATGCTATCCTTGGGACTTGCTACCATGATCTCTACTGATCAACATTTTGTTTTATGTTTCTATTTATATAAAGCCTGATGATACAATGGTGATGGTTGACCTGGGACATGCTATCCTGATCTTATTAACGTTTTATGTTTTTATTTATATACAGGCTGATGATACAATGCTGATGGTTGACCTGGGAAATGCTATCCTGATCCTATTAACGTTTTATGTTTCTATTTATATACAGGCTGATGATATTGTGCCAAGTTGGAGGGAGGTGTGGATGATGGCAGTGGGGTTGGAACCTCCAGTAACATATTTCTCTTCCCTGATATCGTCCATCTTTATATATCTCCTAGTATTACTTTTCTGTTACATCTTCTACCAGATGTCCAGATTATTTTTACCCTGGTGTATACAGGAATATGTCCTAGATTACTTCAAAACATTAGCCTTCTGTACATACTGTTTTGGACACGGTGTTCTAAGGGATGCCCATGGTCATCTCGGGTACGTCCTCTGTGTCGTCCCACTGAATACTGTTAGTATCTTGATTTTTCACGTTGGGGATGGAACACCACTAGAAGTATGGTTGCGATATCTAAAGAGAAAAATTCCAGCGTGGAAATTTTTATTGAAAGTGACAGCTCAGATCCTAGCTGGTTTTAGCTCTTGGGAATTAGGCCATTTGTTTTATAGACTGGATTTTCACCGGTCCTTTGATGAAAGAGTCAGTCAACAAGAGAATTGTGAGTCTGACCTGAATACTTCACCTCTCTCAGGCTTTCTACTGGAGACCGTAGTCGTCACTTACGATTTTTGGTTGGACCAACAAACTTTATCAAAATATGTGCCAATAGATCTTGCCTTGAAGATCCTAAATTGTGCTGTTCTTGTCTGCTTAGGTAAGTTTTTACAACTCATACTGAGAGAGAAGTTTGAAAGTGCTGTTATTTTTATACTTTAAAGGGGCATGTACACAAATTTGACAGTATTTTTCAAAATTTTGGTATGATATCATGACTAACATGCAGCAAGAGCATTTCGGATTGATATGAAAACATGTTTAATTAGATACTTCTTTTATATCAAAAGTAAAATTTTGGGGTGTTTGATTGTCATACATCCATGCACTTTTTGAAAGTTCTGTAAATGTTCTATAAAGTTCTATAAAACGTTAAAGTCCTACTTAGTATTAAAGAAAAAAAGACAATTTGTGGTGCATTAATGAAAGATATTATTAAAAATCTTATCAAGAAAAGTCAGAATAGAAGTATGAGAAAGCAAAACCAACACATCATTGTTCTCAGTTTGTGTTCAGTGATCAAGTTAACAAATCGGACACACCCAATAAAACAAGCATTAACAATAATAAACACAAGTGTTTGATGGAATGTTATATAGAAAGCTGTTATGAATTTTTGTACAAGTTTAATTCATTAATCTGAAATTATTTTTTGAATAAAAATAGACATTTTAAATTTTAAACAAAATGACAATACAACTTTTCCATGCCCCTTTAAAGATGTTTGTGGCATATTCTTCAGAATGATTTTTTTTTGTCTGTGCTTTTTAGGCCTTAGTAAGACTGGGATGTATTTACACCCTGCAATGGCGACAGGTCACACCTTTGGCTGTGGATCCACATCTGTTTGGTCCCATATATTGGTTTACTGGATAGGACCTTTCTTAGGGATTCTTATAGGACTGAAGGTATGTAGTAGTTATTAATTACAAGTAGAGCTTTTTCAAAAAGCTTGGCTGTCTTTAGCAACAACCTTAAAGGCAGAGATTTTAAGCACTGCCTTCAAAAATACCTGGTCTGTGTACCCCTGTCAATCAAGTACGTTAAGGTACATCATTGGGTGCTAGAACTTGATTGACATTTACTTACTAGTCCCTGTGTATACCCTGTACACCTTGTTTGACACTCCTGGTGTCCATCAAATTAACTTTTGATTCTTTGATATTTACCACACATGGTATAAACAATGGATAAGCTGTATTACTATGGAATTTTTAGCTTGATAATATATATACATACACACCTTTAATATTTGAAATAATTATGATTTTCTTTACGATAATATATATCAAAATTTGGTATAACTTTTTTTTTCATAGCTCAACAAATACTTTGAATACTAATATTTTTAATGGGCGGGGATACTTTGACACATATTCAATTACAAATTAATAAAAATTATTGAGATTTAATTTATTTACAACTTTTTATTTCTATTTCAAATTCATCTCAAAATCCCAACACAGGTAAAGTTTGACTTCTTGGGTACTCTGCTGTGTATTAAATCACTTCCTGTGTATAGGGATTAGGAGACAAACGACCGCAGGTAGACTGCTAGCCCTCAGGGCATTCACACCTGTACAAAATAAGCCCCTCCCTCACCTGGAATTTACCACCTGGTAAAAAATCTCTGCCTTTAAACAGTAAACTGGTATAATTGTTATTATTGTTGATTTAGTTTTGTCAGAATGTGAAATATGGTTCAGGTGAGCAATGTGGTTAGTGGGCCTTTCTGTTTTAGCTAACTTGGTTAAGTTATGCTTTATCTTTGTTTACTCCTTATAAAATGGCTGAACTTTGGTATCTCAAAGATTGATAACTCAAAATACCATGGATATATATGAAATGTTTCTTTATGTATTTAAACCTTGGTATCTTAAAAATTAAAAGTTTGGATATTTCAAAATGTTCTTTGACCCATCAAATTTCTAGATAATGAGGTTTGATTATACATTGCTTTGAATTTAATTGACTATCTTTGTGTTTTTTATTAGCTTGCCAAAAGATTTCGCCTGCCATTCTACAAGAAACCGACTCTTCAGAAGACAGAGAGCGTTGTCCAGAATGGAGACCAAAGTAACAGTTTGACTGAAAAACTTATAGTGAATGGTTTTTCTGAAAACAATGAGGAATTACGACATAGAAACACTCAGAAAGCTTCCAAGACTAACGGGAAATCAGGGATGTAGATCACCATGACAACAGTGTGCATGATCTTAATGTATTTTAGAGAGGCATGGGCACAGATTTGAAGTATTCTTCAAAATTTTTGATAGCATTTCATGACTTGGATTATATTTTGCAAGAGCATTTCAGACCCGTACATTATAAAAATCTGTTAAGAAACTTCTTTCTTTTGAAAATTATAAAAACTACAGATTTGGGGTGTGTTTGATTGCCATACTTGCTTGCATGCTTCATGAACTAAAGTTTTTCCCTAACAATCAATGACATTTGGGTGTCTGAGGTGTATTGATAAAAAGATATTAAAACTGTAATCTTGATACTCTAGAAAAGTGAAAAAAAGAAATGTAAGAAAGCAAAAACAACATGCCAGTGTTGTCATTGTGTGGTCAGTAAGGTGAGCCATGTCAACAAATTGAACACACCCAGTAAAACATAAGCATTTAAAACAATAACAGAGCTTAAATTTACTCATGTTTACAGACACTGGTGTTTTGTGTCAGTTTATGAAAAATAATATCATTGAGCATTGAGAATTTTTATTTAAGTTCAAGTCTTTGAAGTGATGTTTTTGTAGGTGACCTATTGCTATCTCTTTTCGTCCGTCGTCGTCCGTTGTTCGTCGTCCATCGGTCGTAAACTTTTGAACATTTTCAGCTTCTTCTCTGGAACCAGCAAACCAATTTCAACCAATTTTGGCATATAGCATCTATGGGTGAAAGGGAACAAAAATTGTGAAATTCGTAGCCCCTGCCCCCCTTGGGGCCTGAGGGGTGGGGCCAAAACCATCAAAATTAATGCAATCTTTAAACATCTTCTTCTTTACTCCTGGACATCAAGCAGTCAAACTGTTGGCATGATTGTAATAAGCATTGAGCCCTCTACCAAAATTGTGAAATTCATGGCCCCAGGGTCAGGGGTTCTGGTGCTAGGGCGGGGCTATATAGATCATATAGTGAAAGTGCATTATTTCTTTGAAAATCTTCTTCTCTACTCCTGGGTATTATTGAAACAAATTGAATACATAGGTGTGATAAGCAAGAGTGACTCTACCAAAATTGTGAAATTCATGACCCCAGGGTCAGGGGTTCTGGTGCTAGAGCAGGGCTATATAGATCATATAGTGAAAGTGTATATTATTTCTTTTAAAATCTTCTTCTCTACTCCTGGGTATTATTTAAACAAATTAAATACATAGTTATGATAAGCAAGAGTGACTCTACCAAAATTGTGAAATTCATGACCCCAGGGTCAGGGGTTCTGGTGCTAGGGCGGGGCTATATAGATCATATAGTGAAAGTGCATTATTTCTTTGAAAATCTTCTCTTCTCCTGGGTATTATTTAAACAAATACATGGTTACGATAAGCAAGGATGCCTCTTCCAAAATTGTGAATTTCATGACCCCTGGATCAGAGGTTCTGATATTAGGGAGGGGCTCTATTTATTATATAGTGAAAATGCATTAATGCTTTAAAAATCTTCTCTGCACCTGGGCATATCAGAGGCAAAAAGAGTAAAAGTTTTAATAAGGAAGGGTATTTTTACCAGATTTTTGAACATCAGAACCATTTGGTCAAGTGTTCTGGTCCAGGCCAGGGCTCTATTAAGTTGTATTCTACTGAGAGGAGTTATTCCCCTTTGCCATTTACTTGTGATAATTAATCACTGTAAATAATGTACTTGAAAGGTTAATAGAATAAGAGAATTATGCAAGAATTTTTATTGTATAATACAAAAAGTACTTTCATAGTTTTAATGATCAGGTAGACTTGTAAGTAACAGATAAATAAAAATGAGACAAAAATAACTTGTCTTATTAAATGTTCATCAAAGACCAAGAGAGGCCAATGTAAGAGATTTCAACAAGGAATTAAAAGAGTACAGAAGCACTGATTATAAGTCTGTCTGGTGAGAGTGATAAATGGGGAACAGATTAGAACCTAATTTATGTACTGTTAATGAACACTAGACTAATTATTTTGTTGATCCTGATCACCCTATTTTTCTTGCTTTTGGGCAACAAAGCTTCACCTTTCAGTTCATTTTATACTCTATGGATCCTCTAAATTGTTGTATTATACTCAGGTGACCGTTAAGGCCCTTGGGCCTCTTGTTTTTCAAATAAGAATTGAAATTCAAAATTGTTAACGAAAAAGGAATGCAAGTGTATCCATGCCCCTTTGATATTGATGGTAATAAGATGATAATTCAATTCCTGCTCCTTGGTTACTACATGTAAGCCAGGCTTAGTATATACCGGTACATTGGACGAAGTTGTGCATAGTTGAAATTGATTATCTGATTTGTCAAAGAAATAGCACTTACCATATTGAGTCACATAATAATGGAAAGCGTTTACAATTTTTATGCTTGTTTTATTTTTGTCCAGATTTCTTACTCTAAGTTAAGGCTAGTACGTATAATTTTAGAAATGATGCCTAATTCTCACATACCAAGAAAAGCTTTAGGTTGATGTAAAACTTGGAATTTTTGCAAGATTTTTAGTATGTTTTGAAGAATTAAAAATGTAAAAAGAAACTTTAAGAATATATTTTTAATTACAGGTACATATACACATATATCTTTAAATATAAATTTAATTTTCCAGTTTACATGTTTAAAACAAAACAAAAAAAAAAAGATTCTTTTTTTCGTCACTTGAGCATGTTGAGTCAACAACTGTTTATATTTTTATCAAAAATAGTAAACTGATACACATTTGTAAGAAGTTTACAACTGACTTAAACCTCAACATCATTCACTAATACACACTGATAAGATCTGGTTAAAACTAACATTGTCAAAATTTCCCTTCTGACCTTGACTTCAATATTCCTCATTTTGAAATCGCTATAGATTCAAACAGGTGTTCAAATTTTTTTTTTTTCAAACTTCATACACTGATAAAAATTGCTGAGAGTTATTCAACTCTATTATAATTTTCTTATCTCACTATCACATTGACATACATGTAATTTTTTCTCATAATGCATTTATCTTAGTTTCAAAGCAACTGTTTGGAAAAAAATGTTTTGAAGAGAACAAGTTAAAGTCACTTGGTTAGAGTTGGACAGATATTTTTTCTTACACAAAAGAATAATTAAATATACTGCTTTGAGGTCTTTTATATCGATCCCTGATTGAACTTTCTCTTTTTTATGCTAACTGTCCGTTAGCGATTTAGAATGACCATGCTTTTTGTTTGACTGTCAATGCAATTTGCTTCACATTCTCTTTATTTATTGTGTGACTTAACAAAAAACAAAAAACAAAAAAACAAAAAAACCACAATACTTTTTTTCAAATTTTATTCATTTATTTAATATCTTTTAAGGTATTCAATGTATAATGAACGGATTTTGAACTATTTTGAATCATTTTAAACTAGTCAAAAATGCATTGCTAGATAACGATGAAAGTGAAATGAACCAAATTCACATGGCTGATAACATATAAGAAACTGGTCATTTTGCACTTTAAAAGTTTTTGAAGAGTTATCTGCCCTTGATGAAAAGAAGAAAATTTTAATTTCGTCAAAATATCTGCGGTAATTGATTAATTTTATTTCATATATTAAAAGAGAGAGAGAATGTATGCATATTTTCACCAAGAGCTTTTTATGAAATTCAAATTACTTTTTACAATATCTTAATAACACATGCATTGTCCATAGACTTCAATGTAAAATTCAAGGTGCAATTAATTTGACAATAATCAAATTTATGTAGTTTTCTTTGGTGGAGTATTTTTATTTCATAACACCTTCAAAATGATATCATAATTACAAATATAGGACCGTTCATTTATTAGATACAAAATATGGTCGTTATAAATTGAATACCTTAAAAGAAATCCAATCTAAGGATACAATTTGAGGAAATTAAAAACTTTTTTTCTATACAGAATTATATCACAGAAAACCCAAAATAGTTTTTACCATAAAAATCAAATGGTTTAACTTTTAGCTCACTTTAACAAACTTTATAAAGATACATATTGGTAAAGAGCAAATCAGTAATTTTCTGACCTCAACCTTTTGTGTGACCTTAACCTCCCTATGACCTTCACCTTGTTTAGATTAATTTAACTTTATATAAATTAGATACATACTAGGGAGATTAATTCCATTGTAATTAATTTCTTGTATTGTTGTCCTTTTACCTTGACTTTTCCCCTCATTTTTTCTTTGTTCCCTCTTATTGAATTCCATTAAGTATTACTTCAAACAGCTCCATTCGTCTACTGATAAATCTCCATGAGAGCGTCACCATAACTACTTAATGTTTTATTATTGAATATTGACCTTTAAAGATTTACTTAGATAATGAAAATTTTTATATTTTTTTTAACTTTCAAATAATGGATTACTCTTTTTTGAGTGTTTTGAGTTTATAAGAGTTGCTTTATTTTTACTCATTATATAGTTTTATAATTAGCTCACTGTGATATGGTACATGTGGTAGGTAAAAAGGGTATAGTTTGATTGGTTCATTCTTATGCATAGATATTTGGTAGGACCTGTTTGATTGGCTAAAGGTAATAGATAAGAATTATAGATTGGCTTCTTGTGTTACATCTGTTTGATTGCCTCTATGTTACATGGAGGTAGGGGATTTATGATTGGTTAGTTTATTTACAAGATAAGCTGGTCACTGTTTGATTGTCTCATTGCTTTTTTTTTTAATTACTAGCTATAGGTATAGGAGCTGTTTGATTGGTTCTTTGTGCTACATGTTGTATACATGTAGGAGATTTATAATTGGCTTATTGTTTTACCAGTTACCTGACTTAGTTGCCAATGGGAGTTTCATGACTGACTTACTGTGATGCATTTTGAAAGTAAGATTTATATCAGATTTTGTTCATTGTGTTCCAAATGTTAGCCATCAGTATTATATTTTGTTTACAGTATTGCATGTGTCCATAGGTACTATGTTTAAATATGTAACTTTGTAAGATTTTAAACTAATTAAGAGTTATACTTAATATACATGTATAAAGCCAACAATATTTGGGGAAAATCTAGCTTCCAAAAGCTTTATTAGTATATAAGATTTTGTACAGACACCTTGTGCCAATGTTGTCTTCTTGTGGACCAGAGGGGTGGGTGGGGGATGAGGGGGTCCAGTCTACTAACATTGGTATGCAGTCAGCTGGTACTGATGGTGTCTTCTTCTGAAGGGGGGGGGGGGGCAGTCTACTTATTGGGTCTGATCACATTGGCATACAATCAGTAAGTACTGATGCACTCCTTTTCTTTACAACCATAAATGTATGAAAATCAATATTTTTCTATATTCTATTTGTATGTTTTCAACAGCTGTTGAGAAAAGCTATTGAAAATCTTCATAAATAGCTGTCTTTGTCATATCCTTAAGTAAGGAGGGCTCTTGCTGAGGTAAATAATTGATTGGAAGTTAATCTAGAAGTCAGGTATAAAATTTTATTTGATGTAGGAAGAGTAAAAAAAAAAATAGGCAAGTGAAATTTCAGTGGAAACTTTGTTACAATGTCAGAAAAATGCAGCATTAAATAACCTCAAACATCAGATGTAAAAAATGGGGCCTTTAATAATTAGGGCTGGTTTATTGTTATGATCTCAAGTATTAAAATTTATGATTTTTTTTCATTTTGCACTTTAATCTTGTCTCTCTGTCAAGATTCAATATGTTATCCATTCCTTCTGAATAAATGTGAAATGTTAAAATATTCTCAGATACAACACATGCTTGTAGAACAAAGTTTTATTTTGGTATTGAAGTTTTTTGTTAAATATTTTCATATTAAAATGACTAAAAATATAACTTTTGTTATTTTCTTGCCTGTTTAGAAATTATATATTAATAAGTTTGCAGCAAATTCAGTTTTTAAACAACATTTACTAGTAAAACAATAAGATGCAGAGGTAGTTACAGCACCATATGTCAGCATGTTGAATTATAGCTAACAGATTGTCAGTGTTGATGTTTTAAATGTTTTTTTAATAAACTAAATGTGGGATGATCACCTTTGGCTGAATTTCCAGCAATTTTAAAAAATATTTCTTTTGTTAAAAGTTATAATGATAATGCGGTTTCAAAATTAAAAAAAAATGCACTGAATCTTTTGTTTTTTTTTCTTGGTCTCATCATGTGAGATAAAGATGAAGATGTGATATTTAAAAACAAACAAACAAACAACTCGACCCAACTTAACCCCCCCCCCCCCCAAAGATTGTTATGCCCTGTTCACACGGAGAGTTTAATTCGAATTAAACGTAAGTTACTGCGAATTAAATTTGAACCGCGTTCACACGGAGAATTTAATGCGAATTAGTTTAATTCGAATTAATTTACTGCGCATTAAATTACTTCGCATTAGCTCCGTGTGAACGCTAAGCGAAGCTAATTCGAATTAAATTTTGACGCATGCGTAAAAGCAGAATTAAGTCACAGGCCACATGTCGGTGGTCAGATATAGGTACTTGTGCTATTTTAGAGTGGAAAACAAAGGAAAACTATGTTAATCACTAAAATGTGTACAGACACTATGACATTATGTCAAATCAGTTGTCAAATGTATCTGCTAGGCACAATGTGACGTGATTCACAAATGACGTCATAATAGCCTTACTGAATAGCCTTATTATAGAAATAAAAATTTAATTCGCATTAGTTTAATTCGCATTAGCTGTCGTGTGAACGCAATTTAATTCGCATTAGTTTAGTTCGCATTATTTTACTTCGCATTAATTTACTGCGAATTAAACTCTCCGTGTGAACAAGGCATTAGTCATACAGTAATTAAAATCGGCCAAATTAACAACCTTCTTTTCAGTACAATTAAGTACTTGGGTCATGGTTTATAAATAACTATGTATACCTACTGATATGTAAAAGGAGTTCTCTTGGTATACATATTTATAAACCAAAACACAAGTACCTGTGGTTTTCAGGGCTCCTATGCAGTGCTGTCATTAGCCTCCCCTTCACCTCCTATTTTACATAGATCGCACGCAGTGAGGGCGCGGGCAACGCATAATGTAGTTTAATGGTTGTGAACTTTTAGAATATGGCGCAGATGTTTAATTTGTCTACACGGGTCAGAGCTGATAAAGAAATTAGGACGTGCAACGTACCACGGTGAGATCTTTATTGTTATTTAAACAAGAAAAAATAACCCGTCGTACCCTGTAATTAAATCCTTGTACTGAAATCTACAAACGATTGCTATGTGAAGGAAGTTCCTTTTTGCACGAATTGACGAAATTGAAATGTCGAAAGTTGCGTTTTCTCTGTCATTCTAAATTTCCACCGTTAGTACTGTCATGAAATGGAACGAATCTCGAGATTATCTATTTCAAGGGGGTGTAACGTTTGTTCACCCTCAATGCGAAGGTGCGAGTGACTCCATCGGAACATCATAGTTTTGTTAAATGAAAATATATTTTTTTTAACTTTCCCTTTCTTTTTTTTCCTTGCAGACTTTTAGTAGAAGTGCTTTGGCCCCCTCCCACCACTACAATATAATAGTCTGGGATACGCATTAGTTCAGTAATGGAATTCCCTCTTATATACAAGGAGCACCCGTGGAGGTGGTATAATAAACAAGAGGCCCATGGGCCAAAACGCTCACCTGAGTCACTTTGGTCCTGTTGTTTTTCATCATATTTGAACAATTTAGAATCTACACTACCTCAGGAAGCTTCAACATAAGTTTACTGGCCCAGTGGTTCCTGAGAAGAAGATTTTTAAAGATTTTTCCTATATGTTTCAATGTAAAAGTTTGGTTCCCTATTGTGGCCCCACCCTACTCCAGGAGGAGATGAATTGAACAATTTAGAATCTTTACTCCCTCAGAAAGCTTCCACTTCAGTTTCAGCTTTTCTGACCCAGTGGTTTTTGAGAAGATTTACTAATGACCCCACCTTTTTTTTTGTCTTTTCTTGATTATCTCCCCTTGGAAGGGGGCCTGGCCCTTCATTTTTACAATTTAAATTTCCCTTCTCCTTAGGATGCTTTTATTAACTTTGGTTAAAATGGCCCAGTGGTTCTTGGGGAGAAGATGAAAATGTGAAAAGTTTATAGACGGACGACGGGCAACTAATGGATTCAAATTCACACAAATTGGCATGTGGAACCTATCAATGATATAAAGCTTTAAATTTTCTCACACGCTCTTGTAAAAAAGGATCGATCCATAGATGAAATACGGGGACTTTATAGGGCAAACAAATTATCAAATCACCAATAAAGGTGACCTGATATACATACATAAAGAGTTCGTTTATAGTCTGTTTTCATTTTTATGAAAAATATTTTAAAGCCACAGTAGAGGTTTAGTATCACATACAAGAAAACAGACTATAGGAACTCTTTAACATGTTTAATGCGAGGAGATAAACAATTACGTCATCGGAGCCACATTTTGAACAGAGATTTCAGTGAATGTTTTATGTTAAGGTTCACATGCCCAGACGGTAAGCAGTGTGGAAATAATAGTGACAGAGAGTTAATTAAACAACTAAATGACTTCATTGAAGCGAGTGCCAGTGTTGCCTAGGTGAATAATTCCTGCTAACGCCAGCCGAAGATGGGGCTTTATTTCGAGACGTGAATTATGAATGACTGTCCCGAGATTCGGTGGAGGCGTCAGACCAAATATTTAGCCGAGCCGAATCTCCCCCGAGATTAACTTTTCTCAAGCAGAGAGCTGCAGCTACGTCACCACATGATAAGCGGAAAACACCCCGCGTAATCTCCATACGTGTATCACATCAGTGTTCATTGCGTCCAATGAATCCTAACTCCGTCACCAGAGCCCTCTACAATATATATACCAACGTATTAAATACAACTTTTTCCCAGTTTAGTTTTTTTTTTATCCCTTTTCCTTAAATTTAAAAGATTTGAAATAGTATTAAAATATATTTTAAGAAAAGATGTCGGAGATATCAATGATGATCCAATAATAACACTTTTTTTCAGGAAAAACACCTCATGACGTGGAGGGATGTCTGGGTAGTGGCACTGGGGTTCGAACCCCCCGTAACACATTTCTCTGCGGCGGTCTCCGCAATTATTATCTACCTTCTGGCCCTTCTTTTCTGTTATGTCTCTTATCAACTAGCTAGGGCACTGATGCCCCGGATCGTACAGGAATATGTCCTCGACTTCTTCAAAACTTTAGCCTTCTGTACGTACTGTTTTGGACACGGAGTTATAAGGAATGCACATGGCCATCTTGGATATGTTCTATGTGTCGTGCCATTAAACACAGCTAGTGTGCTCATATTTAACATAGGAGATGGAACACCTCTTACCGTTTGGTCTAAGTATCTTCGAGGACAGATTCCAAAATGGAAATTCTTCGCCAAAGTGTCTGCCCAGATTCTTGCAGGTTTTTTTGCCTGGGAGCTTGGACATTATATTTTAAGTTTAGATTTTCATTCGTCTTTCTCGGAGAAAATAACTCAAAAATCAAACTGTAACTCAGATCTCAGAATTGCGGCTATAGCTGGATTTGCTCTAGAGGGAATTGGAGTTGCTTATGACTTCTGGATGAACCAACAAACGCTCTCTAAATACAAACCATTAGACATAGCCCTGAAGTTCACCAACACAGCACTGATTGTATGTATCGGTAAGGTATTTGTATTAGTCAATAAGAAACATGCAGTGTACATGTTGACAGATTTTAGAAGACATATTTGATTAATTAAGATTATATTCTTTAAATGCATGTGATGTTTGTTTTCTTTTACTTTACAACCATGATACATGTTAAAAATTAAAGAAATAACTGTGGGATACCTTTCTACTCAGATACTGTTTTCCTTACTTCTCCTTTTTCTTTATCGTTCGATTGGTCGATTCTATTTTTAGGTGTGAAGATGACCGGGATGTATATTCACCCAGCTTTAGCCACAGGTCGAACACTCGGCTGCGGAACCACCCCAATCTTGTCTCATCTCCTTGTTTACTGGGGTGGGCCATTTGTAGGAATATACTTAGGACTTAAGGTGAGCTGACTACATAAGAACATTGAAAAAATATTCAAAATTTAAAAAAATATTGCAAACACATAAAGCTTCCAAATCAAATGGTATACATGTATTAAGCTAAAATACCAAAGAATAAATTTGTATCCTGTTGTAAATTTGAATATACTTGGTGTAGGTAACTTCATAACATCACATTTTGGTCTTTAAGGATCTTCCAAAACAAAATCAGGTTCTTCTTGCACGCACTAGAACTGTTTCGATATTGTATACAGGGTTATATTCACCCCTTGTAATTATCTATTTTCGCCCTTTCACGATTGCAAGCTTTTTACCCCAAATTGCAATTTAAATTCATCGGGACACAGTTATGTTATATAATAATAATGCTGTTTTCTTTGAACTCACCCACTTGCAACGATGGCGGAACGGACGAAAATGAAACGGGGACTAACATTTTTCTTTATGCACTAAAACTAAGCTCACCTGAGCCGAAGGCTTAAGTTAGCTTTTCTGATCGAAACGTATCCCACGTCCATCTGATTGTCTGTCTGTCATGTGAACGTGTTATGTGAACGTGTCATGTGACTGTCTGTCTATGCATGTGGTGACTGTTGGCACTTTTCACATTTTCGATTCTTTTCCAAAACCACTGGGCCAATTTCAGCCAAACTTTGCCAAAAAGCATCCTCGGGTGAAGGGGATTTAAGTTTGTTTACAGGAAGTACCACGTCCTCATTCAAGGGGGAATAATTAAAAAAAAATTGTGAAAATTTGGTGGCATCTTTTAAAAATTCTGTTCTCAAGAACCAGTGGGCCAGAAAAGATGAAAATTATAGGAAAAGTTTTTTTTACATAGATTCAAATTCGTCCAAGTCATGAACTCAATAATTTGAAGTACAATTTGCAAACGGGGTTTCTTGCCTACTAATTTCTTAAAGGCAGAGATTTTTTACCGGGTGGTAAATTCCAGGTGAGGGAGGGGTTATTTTGTACAGGTGTGAATGCCTTGAGGGCTAGCAGTCTACCTGTGGTCATTTGTCTCCTAATCTCTATACACAGGAAGTGATTTAATACACAGTAGAGTACCCAAGAAGTCAAACTTTACCTGTGTTGGGATTTTGAATTGATTTTAAATTAGAAATAAAAAGTTATAAATAAAGATTAATCTCAATATTTTTTTATTAATTTGTTATTGAATGTGTGTCAAAGCATCCCCACCCATTAAAAAAATATTATTATTCACATTATTTGTTGAGCTTTGAAAAAAATTATACCAAATTTTAATATATATTATCATAAAGAATATCATAATTATTTCAAATACTAAAGGTGTGTATGGATATATATTATCAAGCTAAAAATTCCATAGTAATACAGCTTCTCTATTGTTTATACCATGTGTGGTAAATATCAAAGGATCAAAAGTTAATTTGAAGGTCACCACGAGTGCCAAACAAGGTGTACAGGGTATACACAGGGACTAGTAAGTAAATGCCAATCAAGTTCTAGCATCCAATGATGTACCTTTATGCACTTGATTGACAGGGGTACACAGATCAGGTATTTTTGAAGGCGGTGCTTAAAATCTCTGCCTTTAAAAACAAAATGAAATCACAACCATAATATCAAGTAATTAAAAATAACTTTCCATCAGTGCAACTATGTCCCAATTTTTTATGGATATTTGCTAGCAAATAAAACTGACACACCCACGGCTCCTATACATTTTCTGAAAGATTTGGCTAGTTAAGGTTTTAAATTTTCTTTCCTCACTCAAGTTAACCTGAGTTTTAATGAAAAATCACAAACAGGTCTGGCTGAACAGTGATGTAAAAATTACATAACAGTAACTACTACATATATACAACCTTTCTGTAAACAAAAACAGATCTATTTTCTTGATGCCATAAAAAATCACCTTAATTGTTATGGATTTTTTCCCCGGATTTTTTAATTTAACAAGAAAAAATAACTAATTGATTTCATTACAAGATTTTTCTGGTAACAATGATTAAGGGGTACAATACAGACTTGACATGTCATCTTGGAGGAAAAAAAAATATGGCAACATTTAATGCAAAATTGTTTAGTCAAAAAGTTAAAAATGTGGTGTTTTGACCTAAATATACAAATCCAGAAGTATTGCAAGCTGAATTCGAAATCAGACTGATTTAATCTTTCAAAAAATGTTTTGCTTTGTGGCCGCCATTCCTTTTGTCTTCTTTTCTTTGAAAGACGGTAGGAACTTCTTTGTCTTGTCCAAGACATGATCATTTTCTGACAAGTACATGTAATTACATGTAGCTTCTATCCTGTAAAAGCTTTAAGTATTTTGAAACAGATTATCTTAATTTACATATATAAAATTAAGAATGCTAAAAATTAACACATTGATATAATTTTCTTTTTAAAATTAAAAATATTTATAAAGTATATTTATAAATGTAGTTAAATGATTTGGTTAATTCAATGAATTAAGACTGAAAAATTATCAACCTAGTAGTAAACCGTCATGGTTAAATTATTGAACTAAAAGAAATAGCAGAGGGAATATCTTTAAAAGTCTTTTCAAGAACAGCAAAGTCATTATTAGCCATATTAATACAGAAGCATCCTCAGATAGTGAAAATTCAAGATTATTCAAATCATGACTCCCAATGGTAGGACCGGGCCACAACAAGGGATAAAAGTTATACAAAGGAATATTTAGGAAAATTTAAAAACCTTCTTCTTAAGAACAGCAAAGCCATGATCAATTATATTCATAAGAAATCATCCTCATGTATATTGGAAAAAGAATCTGCTGATAAAGAACAGAAGGGCCATACTTACTCAGGTGAGCATTGTGGCCCATGGGCCTCTTCTTGTATATTTTAACAGGCTAGCCAGTTTATCAGTCTTCCTTTCATCGAAACACCAAAAATTGAAGAAAGTGCAAAAGATGTCCAGAATGATGCCAAGTTTTCGGAACCTAGAGACAAAAAAGTGCATGCGGGAAAAGTACGACAAAGAAACAAACAAACTCATAAAAAATCATAGGATTGTCCAAAAGTCTTACAGAAGTAAATATTAACATTCTAACAATTTTATTATTATTATTCATATAAAGTTAATTAAAACACGAGTAAAAGTGAGCCTCATATGAAAGTTTTCTTCACCTTGTTATAGTACAATACAACCTGTACGAAATGTTTCGCCCGGAATATAGGGGGAATAGAGGCGTACTTGGAGAAGGGATTCCGGGCGTCAGTTTGTCTCAATACATATATGGTGATATACAGGTTCCGGGCGTAACCCAAGAGGAAACCAAGAGGAATTGAGCAGGAATTTGAGGCGAAAAATGCAAATGAGCTACGCCCGGAAAAATAAATGACGCCCGGAAAAATTTTACGCCTGGAAACTAAAATGACGCCTGAAGCAGAATTACGCCTGGAATGTCCTTATTATTATATAATACTATGTGACCTAAAAACCTGTATAACCAAGAAAAAAACATTTGGGTTATGATTTACAATGTTAAAGTTAAAAATTTAGCCTTTTGAACTAGAAGAAAACATAATGACAGGTCATTAACATAGTATAAAAATATAATTTATAAAAGCTGTTTCAATTTTTTGTACAAGGGACACTGTCAAACAACACTATGAGTGTAAAATAATGTTTAAGAATTCAAAAAACTTCTTAAAATACATTTTATCACTTCAATAATCATGACTCATGACACTGAAACAAATAACTGAATACAGTTCTTAATTTATTCAGTACGTTACAGTTCGAATGCCTCTATCAGACAAACTCAAAATATCTAAAGTAAAGAGTCGATAAGTTATAACTTATGATCATTGTACATAATCATAATCAAAAGATCTACTCAAGTTGATACCAGATATTAATTATCACACCTACCAGTAGATACTATGTCATCCAGAACAAGTGTAAAAGCCTTAACGTTGATATATCTGTATTTCCTATTTCACTCACACTAAACTCCCTCCTTCTTGATCAAATTCAAACTTAACTTCCTATCTGAAATGACCCTTAATTGATTATTAAATTGACCAATCAGACGCCTTTCTTCCTCCTGAAAGTTCCAGGCGTAATTTTTGTTTCTATTTTCCTGCCATTTTACGCCAGGAAAATCTGAACTTGCCAATTGACGCCCGGAAAGAAGAAAAGACGCCTGGAAGACGCCTCTTATACTCAGGCGTAACTTTTCAAAAACTCCGTCTCCGCCTCAAGTACGCCCGGAATTTGCCAATTCCTGCTAGATTCCACCCATATTCCGGGCGGAATCCGCCTTTAAAATTCATACAGGAATAAAAGTGATTCTGAAATACTAGTAACTGACAACTTTGCTTCATTACAATAGAACACGATTAAAACTGACCTTAAAATTTAATAAGCTGATGTTATGACAGTTAAACATAATTAAAATGAACCGTTGATGACACTCATCTCTATAGTACATTGTGAAAACAAGGTCTAAGTCAACCTCGAATCGGAACATATGCTCTAGAATAAGTATCGAATAAGTTGAGGGAGATAAACACAATATGCATGCAGGTGATAGAGGAATATTACTACATAAATAAGGAAAGCTAACGATGGAAAAACTGAAGACATAATTTTGTCATAGAATTTAGTTGTTAGTTAGCCCTTATCGTCTAACGCAAGTACAACATCAAACGTTGATGGAATTGACTGTATTCTATGTATTCTGATTTTAAATTGGGGATACAAAAAGTTCACTCAATAAGAGAAAGTCAGAGCATAGGTTTGAAATAAATTATGGGGACAATCAACGTCTTTATAAACATTTCAATTCGCCCAACAACCCTACTTCTTTCATTGGGGATAGAATTTTGGAAAAAAATATTCATATGAAGCAGAATTTATTCAAAATCATACATGAAATCCTTTTCCGTGGCCTTCAACTAGACATATATATTAAGATATATCGACAACTTATTATCAATTAACAACAGCTATTTCCATTCATATGTCGACACGATATATCCCAGTGAGCTTGAATTAAAAGATACCACACAGTCTGACACATCTGTTTCATATTTGGAAATTTTACTAGAAAAAGACGTTAATGGTAATCTAACAACAAAGCTTTATGATAAAACGTGATAACTTTAACTTTTCAGTCGTCAACTTCCCTTACTTATGCAGCAACCCTAACAAAAAATTACTATAGTTAACTATAGTTTACTATAGTGAAAACTTTGATACTTTGATTTACCATGGAATTTACTCTGGAACTTTTGTGAGACTTCAAAGCTTAAATCTCTTAAATTAGATAACAGTTATGTTAATTTTAAAAAATAATATTTGAATATACAAATAACACTTCCATTTAATATAAAAATGTGCATGTATGAATTGAACACAAAAATACAACAATCTGAAATCCCATATAAAAATTACTTTGATTTACTATAGTAAAAAAAAAACTTTGATACTATAATAAACTATAGTTAACTATGGCATTTTTTGTTAGGGAATATACCCTTGTCACCTGCAAATGGGGTGTATATCTCTCAACTAATTCGATACGCAATAGCATGCTCTACGTATGAACAATTTCTAAAAGGAGGTAAGTTATTGACAAACAAGTTGATTAAGCAAGAATATCAACAGTCTCATTTAAAGTCATCATTTCGTAGGCTCTATGGTCGACATAATGACCTTGTCAGCAAATACAATCTATCATTAAGTCTGACTAACGTTTTTCTTGCTAATTGTTATGCCTTTATTGTCGACGGATTTTTCCGTTATTTCGCGATCATGACAAGGAGCACATGGCGGATGTAACCGTTCGGCAGGGAACTCCTCCATGGCACCTGATCTCACCTCTGATGTTTTTAGAGGACGATGTTTGCTCTTCTCCCGATTTGTATTGTTTTAATGGACTTTGAGCTTGAATACTATTCGTTATCTCCATATTTCATCATCCAACAATAGTCCCACTCAAGTACTCCATTCCGTAGACAAAGATCAGGAAACTAGGTATGGTATTACCATATGGTTACAACGACTACATAAATAATGAAGGGGATTTTTAAAGCCCACAATATGATAATGTGAAAGTGATATGATCATAGTCATGGACATCGATCATAAGACCAAATATATATGATGTCTCTTTTGATAAAGTCTTCATCACAATTAATTATATAAATAAATCCTGTATATCTTCTATCCGTTCTACCAGTGAATATCATGTACTAGAAATGACACTTCTTCAATGGCGCCATACGCCATTACGAAGTTCACAACATTCCTACTATAGAAATTTGTGCGACTTTTAGAAATGCATTTTGTCATTTATTATTTTTTAAAGGTGTCTTTCCTTAAAATATTTTATAGGACAGAAAAAAAATTCGTGCATAAACGATTGTTCTGAATGGAGATAAACGCCATCGCATTTGTAGAAAAAGCCCCCCCCCCCCCACCCTTTCATCTCTCGACCAAGTCCAGGAAATGAGGGGAAAAAAATCTTCCTAAAACCTTTCTTGTGCACATTTGTGCATCCAAAAGCCATAAGCTGTCAATTATCTAATCATCACTTAATTATTTTCTAACAGGTTTAATGGACAAAACAAATTAGCCTTTTTGTATACACAAATAGTACTTCGCTTGACCAGAATTGACACCTATGACGTCAGAGCAATGGCGAATACATCGGCGATCAAAATATGCATTTTGAGAATTGCTGAAACATCAAAAATATTAATTTTCTAGCAAAGATTTTTAAATATATGATTTTAATATCATGTAAACTTTGTCATATCAAAAATTTTTGAGACGTGATAAAAATCCTTTAAATGACCAAACGTAAAACCCTTCAAGAGAGAGGGCAAAACCTTCTGAAAGACTACTTTTATTTCAAAAGAAACATATTTGATATTCTATTCACAGTGATTTTATATCTGTTTTAAAAGGAAAAAAAAGGTTTCAGTCGATGCTGAAGCAATGTTTTGATGCAATATGCACGTTGCTACGTTTAGGTTATCGATTTTGCGAAACAATATTTTAGTGAAATATTTGTTTAAACTCTTAGACTCGTAATCGTAATAGATACCAAAATATTTTATGATGTTACAAATATTCATAGAAAGTATACGATTATCATATATTGTATATCATTATAAAATATATATAAAACACTAAAAAGGAACAAGGCGAAGATAACAAACACTGATCAATCTCATAAATCTTTAAACAATATATATTGTGAAAAGCGCAAAACAGATCCAGTGAAACAACAGAGATGGGATAAGGCGCCAAGGAGGAGTAAGTATTCACTGTCGACTGGTTATACCCGCCCTGAGCCCTCTGTATTAATAAGGTACCTGATGTAATCAGTAGTAAAATTTGACACTAAACCAATTTCAAAGCAAATGATAAAACGTCGGTCAAAATACGACTCAACGATAGGTTGTATTTGCAAACGAGGTCTTTATATAACGACCATAAGAGAGCCATATCTGCCTTGCCGACGACACGGCCTACCCAAGAATTTAAAAGGAAATCACCCGTTTCCTTTTATAGATATTCATTTTCAAAATCAGCCGATGTTATATCATTGGAAAGAGTGTTATATTTTCATAGGTTTAGCTGTGTCATATAACAATTATTTTACTTGTTCTTTACTCTAAATTCAAGACGTAAGACTAAGAAAATCAGTACAAATAAAACAAATAGCTATGAATATGCAAAATTCAATGAAATCGTTTAGAATTGTCTTTTCCCGAGATATTTTCAAATAGAAATGTGTATATTAAAACTTTTGGTTTTTTTTCATTTTTATAAAAATAATTAAGCAAAAAGAATAAAAGATACAGAAAAAAGATTAAAAAGGCATAAAAAGAAAATGTTTGACTCGAACTCGGAATCATTTCATTTACATTCTAGTCAACATACCACTGCTCCATGAGATCACTGGTGTCGAAGGCATAAATTGAAGACAAATCGCTAAATCTAAAAATAGTATGAGAAGGAAATTGAATATATATTTTCATCATTTATAATATGAAGACCACCTTTAACCAAAATTATCTAAATGTAATGAAGTGCAGACATATCCAAATAAAACTATTCGAATATTGTTTTTCTGGTTAAAGGTGGTCTTTGTCAACAGTTGTCATCGTTAATGTAGATACTTTTATATTTACTATATACTCCATACAAATTAAATGATTTTCATATTTATCATATACAGAAAATATTAACATTTACATATTATCATTGTGTAATTTGAGTTTTCATATTTATAAACTAAGATTATATGACAATTTTTTGGTTACAAAAAAATGTTTAAGAAATCATTACTAGAGTAGGCGAAAATGCTCATCAAATGTGCTATGGCTCTTTGCAAAATCCTGACTTTAAAAGGTTGTTGAACCCTGATTTTTTAACTGCTGTCATAATTTCATAATTATTATGAATTATGTAGAAGACTACGCCAGGCGATGGCAAAAGAAGAACTTGATACTTTGTCAGAATGGATTAAAAGTACATGTATAAGATGGATGTTGACATCTGGCATAAGGCGGCTGACTGGCAATGTGAAAAACCATCTATTCTTCTGTCTTCAGTAATTTAAAAAAAGAAGAATTAGATTAATAAATCAGTATGAACTGATCTCAGTTGACAAAGCAGTTGAGAACATTGTTTGTAAAGCTCATTGTTTTAATTTTATTTTAAAGGAACTTGGATATGATGATGCAAATGGTAATCTAACTAATACTGATAGTACTTTCTAAGGAAGAAATTCTTCAAAACCATATGTCAATTCTGAAAATTTTTAATATTCCCCAAAATTAAATTTAATTACAATACTCATACTGAATTCCTATACTAAATAAAATCCTTACAAAGATACATAGCGGGTTCCAGTAAATGATCTACGAAGCTTCCCTTTACCCCTCACTAAAATATTAACAGCAGTGATAGAGAAACTTCAGAAGTACTGTACAACAGTATATTCGAGAAGTGGTGTGAATCAGATGTGGATTCCTAAACACTCCGAGGAAATTTTAGAAAATTTGAAATCACAAAATTTTGCCAACATCAAATACATCGAAACGTACTACTTTTCAAAACTTTATACAACCATTCCCCACGATAAATTAAAGTCCAGGCTTTTTGACATCATAGAGAGATGCTTTTTATATTAAGAGGGAACTCGTGAATTTACTTACTTTGTCATTGGTCATTTGCAAAATTATTTTGTTAAGAAACATTCTGATTGTACACACAAGTACTTGTCTATCGTCATCTTCCCTTATTTATTTAGCAAGTGTGAGACGTTAATTACATCTGCATATGGAGTTTATGTCTCCCAGCTGAACAATCTGTGTGAAAAAATGTTAATGAATATTCGGACTGACAAAAGACTCTATTTTTCTAAACAAGATCATTGAAAAGACTACAGAATCTGCTAAATCTTGACTTTAAACTACTGTTGATTGTGGATATCTTTGTAATTCACTCTATTTGTAAGTAGCTTGCTTGGTTTATTCTATAAGCTGAATATGCTCTTGTATATCATATCACTCATATGTAGCTTTAACACTTTTTCCTGCGCCATAATATGCCTGTACGCGTGTGGAGAGGTGCTAAACCATTACAATTTAATTGTTAATGATAGTTTATGAGACAGGTGGATTTTTTAATAGGTAATTGTCTTATTGTAACACAGTTAGCATTATGTTCTTTTTTCTCTGATCTTATGTTGTGCTGGTGTAGGTAAGTCTAATTATGTCAAAGTGCACAAATTACTACTAGAATATGGCGTATTATCACGAGGTGTTTTTCTTCAATTAGAACTTTTTCAGTACTTTGTTGCAAATTAAGGTACAAATAATGCGTTTAATGACAGATCACCATGTAAAATTGTCGATCTGTGATTATATGTATTATATACGTAGTTCTAAAAGTATATGATGGATAAAATTGATTTATACAATAAAAGTAAGATTTAATGGGACTTTTTTTCGATTTTTAACTAGAAACAAACTACACAAGTGATGTATCTTGCTGATTAATGCCCTCCTTATTGTGTGAAACTAGTTCATACATGAGTACTCGCGCAAAAAAATTAAACTTGGTCTGTTGCCATTTTTAAATTTCGTTTTATATAGAGAAGTTCAAGGTACTGGTATCTTAATCAAATCAACCCAGTTTTAGCTATATTTTATTGAAAAAAGCAACTGAATTAAAAAAAAAAAGATTTAAAAAGAAAAAAAATGAAACCGCAGAGAAGGCATTAAAGACTTACGTTTTTTTTTTACATTAACGAAAGTTTCAAACTATAAAGACCCATCTGATTAATATTTTCTGCTAGTTTCTAAGTGATCCAAAATCTTTAAAAATCCCTTCTTGCATTTTAAATCCCTTGATAAAGTTAAATTTTAAATTACAGACAAACATTGCCAATTATGGCTTTTTGCGACTTATTGCAGTGATCTCATACGTTATAATAAACGCCTAGTTATGATAGAGGAGTTCGTCGTCAAACAATATTCGTAGTTTTGACCTTCTCGTGAAGTACAGGTCACCTGACATCACATGCTTACCGTATACGACAGCTCAAGGTCTCAAAAACTTCACATACATTATAACCATTTAGTATGCTAATAATGGGAGGAAACCGGTCTTACGCTAAAAGGATTCTTAAACAAAATCAATAACATTTGAGACTGTTTCGATTAAAAGTTAATCTGTTTAAGGATATTTATAAAGAACATGTGTTCTCCTCAGCTTAAATAAATTTTCACTACCTTACAATAAATTGATCTATCACATTTTTATTCTATTATTAACAGCGAAATGCTGTATTTTATCAATTAAATTATGGTATTATTTTCAAAGACGAGTATCATTTAGAAAATAAACTATTTAGTAAAGAGGGTCAATAAGTGAACGGAAAAATTATAATAAAGAAAAAGATTCAATGTTTTGTCGTTGAATATTTAATTTCAATCCTGAAAATAAATTTTAAAAAATGTTTCTTTTGTTAATTAACTTCCTATTTAAGTATTTAACACTGGATATCCCCTGTTTGTAAATAATTCTTTTAACATATTATAATATTATTTGTAGAAGGGCAATGTAATAAAAGCGTTTTCTAAGCGTTTTGCAATTCTAAGTGAATATTGGATACTTTTTGAAAGAATTACTGTTTCCTCTGTAAAATTTATAATTTTTTTTATCTCATGATTCAGACATAGAATAAAAATGTGTTGATAAAATCTTTTTACCTTTGTTACGTATGACATTGATAAAAGGTAATTATGATAAAATTTATCTACATCGTCAGATTTTCTTTTCAATGCAAATAATAAGTTTGTTACATTTAAATATTCAAAATCAAATGAAATCAGAATATAACGATGAAGTTTCCCCCTCAAATTGATTTGTTAATAATTGATTTTTTTTTACACCCATCTATACAGGACTGAAAAGGATAATTCTAATATATTTTATTTTTGGAAAGTAAACAAAAAATCCCCTTTTTTCTTTTCAGAGGATACCAATTCAAAATTATTATTCAGGACGGTAATCAGATACGTCAGTACTGACTCAGATTTTGTCTATTTTTGCAGGAACGTAGGAACCTAGAAGAGAAAATAAACAAATTATTATGAATTAAACGTAAATGCTACACTCTTCACATTATTCACTTTACTTGCATTGTTCCTCCAAAACAAAAAAAAAAAAAAAAAACAAAAACAAAAACAAAAAACAAACAAACAAAAAAAAGGCTTAAAAACGGTTAAATGTTGGTAAGGTAAATTATCTCTTATATATTTCTATTTATGTTTGAAAACACATATCCTTAGAAATAGAAAAACTGGTTCACTCACCTGATTTACAGAGGTTTAATTTACATATGTGTCTGACGTATTCATAGAGCTATAACGCTAGGGAAAGCGAATAATCCAACAAAAATCACTCAGCCTTTCTATCTTTATCAAAGAGTGCGTTGACTGAATGACTCCCATTATTGAAAGCATATGAACCAGCAAACATATTATTTTCTAATATTTAAGATTCACGCAATTAAGGCTTATTTACGAAAACCTGGAATAAAATACGAATACGATTATTGAAACATTGCTTGATATAGAGGACGTAAAGTGTGGATACAGCGGGATGGAAATGGTTTGTATTTTTTTTTTTAATTAAAACATTGTATTTACATGTACTTGCTTTTTCTTTTATGGAATTGAATATTGCTGCTGATTTTAAATATTCATCATCTTAATTTAAGGAACTATTTTCTTAGAATTTTATAATATTAAGACCAAGTATTTCTAATTTTAGGAAAATCTTCCAACAAATCTAGTTTTTTTATTTAAGATTAAAATGAAAAAAAAAACCTGTTATACCTTTTTCATTCTTCAGTATAAGTAATATAGTGAAGGAATCAATATATATAATTATTAATCAATAATAAATCCGACCTTAAAATATTTGTTACAGCCTTATTTCGCACTATATCTAGGTAAGCTGTTGATTATACATCTTTGGTTAATTATCCCTAACCGAAAATTCTCAATGATTCATTGATGAAGGTATTTGGCTATAAGAACACTGTCTGCCTACATGATATAAGCAAAACAGACATTCTGAATTTTAAATTAAAATTTTAAAATAATTTTGAAAAAAAAATCACTATGCATTTGTATTTGAATATTATACACACCAGCAAGTTTTCAAAATTCAATATAATATGAATGCGGGATTTTGTATTTTCATCACATAGCAGTAATCTTCCACTTCTTGCAATGTCTCCAAAATATAGTATATACTGTCTGAAAACCGTCCATGTAAATCAATGGACAAGAAATATTTCTTTTGAATTATTTTTGTGACTTTTCTGACGGATTTCCAGTGGATTACCACAATGTCATGTCACACGCTAGGTCGTTCGGCCTTCTTAGTTGTATTCAGAGACTCATTTCTCGCTTTTTTCCCCTTTGATATTTTTTGAATCCCTCTAATAACCGATAATATCGACATTAGAAACTGATATCAGCCGTTCTAGAAACTTAACATCAAAATTTTATGTAGATTTGAACTGTTTTATGAATAAATATAATCATTTGAATCAAAAACTTTACTATAAAGTTTATAACATTTTAAACCTTGGCAGTGTACACTTTCCGCGACCCTATAAGATGGCAATTTGTGACTAAAATTAAAGTTCAAACAATCAAAACCTAACCAGTTTGACTTGGAGATTTACAACAAACGTTTGTATACAATATGTCTATATAGGAACATCAAAAATGACAAAAACGCAGTTGTCTTAGACAGCATTCGTCTGGTCTTTTGAGCGTGAAGAATGATATTTCAAGTATGCTGGGTCTCACGTGACTCCAAAAATAAAGGACCATTTTTAGAAAACAAAAAATTGTAATCTTTAATTTTTTTATATTTTTTTTTTAATCTTTTTTGGCTTTTAAAATTTGCATATCATCCGAGCACAGGATTTGTTTTGCATATAAATTAAAGTAAGTAAACTGTTTAAATTAACTTTTTAACTTTAAAATTGAAATTTATTTCAAATATTTATTTCTATTTACAAAAAAAAAACCTCTTATGTTTTACAAGTAAACAATAATTAACAGGAAAATATAAATTACTCTGTGAAATGTGACTGCACGATGGATATAAGAAATCCTTTTAAAGAGTACAATATCATAAACACAGGAAATTTGAAAGGGAAATCATACATATCCGGTGTGTATAAATAAACCAATGACCTACGAATAATAACTATACCAACGACCTATGATTAATGCCATTGATCGAAAATATCATGAGTTGACCTGATTCCATTTATTTGGCCTTGCTACATTAATTATTTGATTTAAGAAAATTTGCCAACCCTCATTAATTGCTTCTGACAAGTATTTAACAAATTTGAATTTAAAAAACAAAATTACTCGCTCTTTTAGTCCATAGTTTTCTACTTGGACTGAATTAAAACAACTTTAAATTTGAGGCATCAACTGTGTATTTTTCTCAGAAAAGTTTATAGAGATGTAAAGAGATGTACCACTATTAAAGGTATATCCTTGAAGTGAAAGTTAAAGAGAAGCTTCTACTGGTTTCTGAATTGGGCAATGGTGAAAGAAAAATCTAAAATAAAATAATTACATTTGTATGGACTATCAACTTATAAAACAATTAATATAAACTTAACTCTGATATATACTCTTAAAATTTAATAACATGTACCATCAAAGACGTAGAAATTGACAGTATTTACTTGAAACAAAACTACAACTAAGTTTGAATAACAGGGTTGTTTCGTTTTAAATGAGCATCAATCGATAAATGAGCATCGTTTAGTATAAAAAAATATTATTTTACTTACATTGACAGGAAAGAAAAAACAACGGCCTGAAATCGACTAAAGGACAGAATCCCGTAAACATTAATGGAAGAAGAGTTATGAAGAAGATAAGTAACTTAAACAGAGGTAGGTACACATTAATATATAAAACATGGAACAGGTATCATAATGTATTGAAATCAGATAATGATGTAATCCTACTTATTATTAAAATATCCCCCAAGGATAATAATTAGTATTACCTTTCCTTTCTTTCTTTCCTTCTTTCTTTCTTTTTAACTAATTAATCAAATGGTTGAATTATTAATAAATGAATAAATTAATTAATAAATTTATTTATTTATTTTAGTTTATTTTATCTATTGTATATTTTTGTTAAAATCATTTTTATTTATTAAAAAAAAAAACCCAGAAACAATTGATAATAGATATTCTACCAAACACGAGATTAACCACATATTTAAATTCTTAAATTTAGGATTACGAATTTATAGAAAAACCAAACACAATATTTCTCAGAAAATTCCAAGACTTTGGAGACGAAGGAATTCTAGGTAAGTCTAAGAAATTGTGCATAATCTGGATTAAAACTAAAAAGACAACTCTGTAAAATGCTAAATAGTAACCGAGTTTCATAAAACACATATCAATGTATAATATTAACTTTTGCTAGGAAAAGGAATAGATGGGGAAGGGGTTACAATTTAGCAAATGATAGGCAATGATATTATTGGAACTCTTCAGACCAGGGCGTTGCTGTCTTATAATTGTGATTTACATTTTCATGTTGCTTTTTTATCATATAGCAGCCTCTGTAAATTGTTACAGAATTTCGTTACTAGTTATAAAATACAATTCCTTCAAAAGTTAGACTGCTTTCCAAATAGCACCAAAGTAAACAAAATAAAAAGAATATTATGAGTAAAACAGTCGTATTTAATTCAAAATCCAAAAAAAAGGAACCCACTTTAAATCGATCACAATTGAAAGTTTCTCTCTCTCCCTCTCTCTGAAATCACCGAAGGCATCGATTTTCTGTGTGTAAATCGATGAGTAAATAAAGATAAAGAAACCAAGTCTTTTGTGTGCTTATCACTTACTTCGCATGATCTGGATTTGTACAATGCATCATGTGAGATTTCTTGATACAAAGTCAAGGTTACTAGCTTTTTGAACAACGGCAAAAGGGAATATATTAATGATGGCTGGGAAGGTTTTGCATGTCAGATATGTACTATTACGTTATCTATTGCCAATATGATCGATTTGATATTTCTCCTTATAAGTATTCTCTTATTTTTATTTAGCCTTTACGAGTTTCCTCTTGTCATTCAGTTATTTTTTTTTATTGCCGACTTCGGTTTTTTTCCAATGACTTTTCTCATGGCATATTTTGTTTACCACAATCATAAAAAAAAAATCCTTGATTTCGATTTAAATGGCACTAAAAAACAAAGTAACAACTCTTTCAACTTTTGCTTCTTCTAAAACATAGGTATCAGTGTCACATACATGTCAATTTTTGAAAGTATCCATTATGGATTTTGAAAAAAAAAGGTTTACAAATCAAAAATTTGCGTCGCCATTGTAATTCATTAAATGCAGGAATGCATACATTTTGTATACGTAGAAATAATTGATGAGAGTGTCCACGTATTGCTTTGCTTTTTCATATCAACAACAGGGTTACAGTGAAATTTGCTTATAAAAAACTCGGATATTATAAAATCTTGGTTATAACGAATTGAAATATAAACTCGCCTATAAGGGACTTGCATTCAGGGAAGTCTTGGATGTATGTAAGATATATCCCCCTTCTTCGTCTTTTCTAAATCTAAATTGTCAAACCACAGAACCAACATCTATTTATGTGTTCTTGTCATCTATCACATTTATACCTGTATTATATCTGTCAGTTTTATATATACAGTACCAAGTACTCGTTCAAACTGTCAACTAATGTCTAAATTGTATGGCAAACAAGATGACTGAGTACGATCAAGTTTTAAATCAAGGCAAGGTACTATCAAAGAAATTGATGTTACAAGGATTTCAACAATTCTACGGTTGTTATAAGGATCTTGTCGTAAATACTACCTACTGTTGAGTCATATTTTGTCTGGTATGTTTCATAACATTGGTTAGGTCAATACTTGACTCCTTATTGCTCCGTCTACCTGATCAATATACAGGGCTCACGGTGGGTGTAACGTTCGACAAAGGATGTTTACTACTAAGTACCTGATCCCACCTTTTTTGTTTCCAGGGTCCTTATCTTTGCTATGTTCACAGTTCGTCTGTTTACTGGATTTATGTGATTGTTCACTGTTTGTTATCTTCACTTTTTATGCCTCCGTAATAAAAGATTCGGTGGCATATAGTTTTTGCTCTGTCCGTACGTCTTTCTGTTCTGTTTGTCTGTATGTCCGCAAAAACATTAACCTTGGCCATAACTTTTGATTAGGTGGAGCGATGGCTTTTACGTTTCACATGTGTATTCCTTGTGACAAGTCCTTTGTTTATAGCAATATATTTGACCTTTTGACCTTTGAATTTGCTTGCATTTGAGAAAATTAAGCCTTCACTATGAGCTTCATACGGAAGCATCAGTGTTTCACAAACACGTCTTGTATATTACCAGTATTTAACAGACTAAAAATTATTTATCTTTTTTTTTAAAGATAGTTATATTAATACTGTGCTATTTTCAATCTTTATTCAATTACAACACTGACTCCCTCCCTTTATTTTCATTATAGGTCCTTAAGAAAGAGTAACAAGACTTTAATGACACGATCGACTGAGCATACAAAAGGGTGGAATCATAGCAATCCTATGTATCTACAGATTTTAAGAAGCAATGCTGACTTGGAAACAATTATTCGATTGGTGGAAATTAAACTTCAAGTAGGTATAGGAGATCTACTAGTATTTCCTAAATTAAATTAATGACAATAACAAAATCTAACCAAGAATGCCAACTTCAATGATTATAAAAAATTAGGTCTCTTGAGATATCACCTTCGGGAATGTAAATGTATAGGAGAAGAGAACAAGGAATGAATCGATCTCAAAAAGCTTAATTACGAACAATACAGATCGGTGAATAGAGCATAAAGGAATTGGAAATTATTCCTAAGAAATGTCACCTTCCACAGAATAGGAAAATAAATTTAAAATTACATTATTTGTTAGAATTGTAAAATTAAAATAAATAAAATCATACGTCTACTCGTAATAAGTGTTTGTTTATCACTGTGTTCATTACAAACTGATAATAAAAACGACATATATTTCATTGTAATCATGTAACTCTTTCTATTTTTTTTTTCTTTACAGGTATTGGAGTTCAAATTTGAACTCTATGCAATGATGAAAACTTTAAAAGCTGGTTTAAAGCGAGGTGAAACTTAGGAACGAATTATATATATATATATATATATATATATATATATATATATATATATATATATATATATATATATATATATATATATATATATATATATATATATATATATATATATATATATATATAAATTCTTTATTCAAATGTGCAAATGTATTGATGAATATCACTTTTTAAAAAATACTATTGTATTAAAAGATTGAGTTTATTTTAGATCTTATAATTTTTAGGGATTTTTCGGGGGTGGGAGGTGGGGGGGGGGATGTCATACCGAGTATTACTTAGAGATAAATTAATTGTTTTGTCAAATATCTCAGTAAGCATTTTATTTCCTAAATAAATCAGTTGAATGTTAAAGTCAATCTTAAAGATAACTATCGCTTATGTCATCTGATTAAAATAAAATAATGCAAGGAAATATTTGTATTATTTTTTATGACTAAACTTTATATATATTCGGAGTAACTTCAGTTGTCTTTGTCATAAAATTAGTTTTTATATTAGTTTGATTTTCTTTATCGATTTATTTATTCATTATCTGCTTATATTTTAATTTGTAAAAACCTCTGTGTTGTTAGAAACATACCTCACTGCAGTCATCAGTTAAACAATAACGGACAACAAATTCTACCATGTTTGGAGTACAAGGTTCCTAACATATGAGAAAAAACACGACTGGACTAAAATCGTGAGCGATAGCTCGAGCAGCGACTATTCTATATTTTTCACATACATTAGGAAACGAGTACTTCAAATGACTTGTGACACGACCCTTTTTATGACACAATTAATTAACATGTGAATATGGTTGTTATTTTTCATCCAATCAGATATAATTCTGCAATCAATTGAATGTTTATAAATTCTTCTTTGCGGCAAAAATTTTGGATGAAGTCGATGTGCAGGTAACAAAATCGATTGTTATGTAAAGTGTTTCCTAATTTTAATTTCCTACTTTCAATTAAATTTTGATTTGTTTTCCTTTTTTAAGTGCTTTCCGTTCCCTTGTATTTCTATAATGTAGTCTTTGAATTTATTATGATTTGATGTGAGATACTAATTTTTCTTTTGTTCTTTGTACTTGTAACAAAATCTTATTTACAACAACTAGACAGTATTGTATCAATTAGGCAGGGCTAAGGATAAAAAGAACACAATTTGTCGATGAAAAGCTTATCATAAAACGATAGATGCTGTTTCTATATCATAAGAATTTTCATTACAAAATCTGCTTTTTAAACATTGAAATTCAACTAATAAACTGTACGTCAACCTTTTTTCGGACATTGCAATTTAGCTGTCAGAAAACTGCATGAAATCTCACTAGCTTTTAAAAGACTTCGTCTCCATCCCCACAGGCAGAAATTACAGCTTTTCATGAAAACATCATTATTTTGAATGTTATAGTCAGACCAACTGGTTTTAAATCTCCTTTTCTGTACACTCAAAGTTAGGTGTTAAACACTTTCCAGCTTCTAGGGTCTTCTGGAGTCCTCAAGCTGGCTCCATCCTCCTTCCTCAAGCTGTCTCCAACCCCTTGTCTTTATTTGTTTCCTCATCAACAGCACCTAGCTACACCTCTGACAGTACTCTTTTCCATATGGGTTCCATATTGAAATAAGCATATCACATATATAAAGTACATTTATTATCTTCAAGTTATTCATATTGTATTTTTAACAAACGATGTATTGCGAAATATGAATTAAGAATGAGATGTGAATCCAATCCGTATAAAATATTACAATTCTAATGAAAGAAAAACATTATTTTAATTGATAAAGAGACAAATACTATTCCTTTATTTTCTTTTTTAATACAAAGATCTTTTTTTTCTTTCTTTCTTTCCTTTTTTCCCCCAAATGATCTGGAAGCACTTGCGTACTTGTATACACGAAGCTTAATTCATCCTGGAAAGTATCTTAGTTGTACGGTTAACATCAAAAGCAAACAAATCAGGTCATAACTCATAAAAACAAAATAATATCGAAAAATCTGTCAAGACAATCCTGTTTTGTCTGAAATATTCTTTTTCTGCTTCATTAAAAGGTCACGGTACCCTTGATATTTCAAATTTCACTCTGCTGTCTTATTGTAAAGGAAAAAAGGAATGAGACACTCTATATATAGAATAAATCAAGTATGAAATTATCAAATAAGAAACATACTAGAAATTATATACGTTACATTACATACATTTTTGTATTTGACTGACAAAGGATCGTTATTCGAACATAAATGTCACATCCCATTGCCAGTATAAATCAAATAAATATCATTAAAGAGGTTTAAATGTATTGTTAGCTTTTATGCAAGAAAAACATCCTCAACTGATTAACTGCTTATAAATTTCGGAATCAACACTTTCAACTCCCAACGCTACTTCTGCATACTCATACAATATAATCTTTATGACGTGGTAATAACGAATACCTTTTAATGAACTATTTATACCAGCACTTTCTAAAGAAAGTTCGGGTATATTGTTACTCATGTCTGTCCGTCCGTCCGTCCGTCCGTCTGTCACACTCTTATTTCTCAAACTCCTCTTACATTTTACACAGTAGCCTAATCATCTTTTGGGAGATGTTTGGTGGTGTCATGTAGATGTGCAGTAAAGTTTCGGAATTTTCATTTTCACCCTGGGGGTCAAATGGGAGTCGAAAAATGACGTTTTTTTTATGCAAAAAGCCCCTTGTTCCCTGAACTCCTCTTACATTTTACACAGTAGCCTAATCATCTTTTGGGAGATGGTTGGTGGTGTCATATAGAGGTGCAGTAAGGTTTCGGAATTTTCATTTTCACCCTGGGGGTCAAATGGGGGTTGAAAAATGATGTTTTTTATGCAAAAAGCCCCTGGTTCCCTGAACTCCTCTTACATTTTACACAGTAGCCTAATCATCTTTTGGGGGATGGTTAGTGGTGTCCTGCAGATGTGCAGTAAGGTTTTGGAATTTTTATTTTCACCCTGAGGGTCAAATGGGGGTTGAAAAATGATGTTTTTTATGCAAAAAGCCCCTGGTTCCCTGAACTCCTCTTACATTTTACACAGTAGCCTAATCATCATTTGGGGGATGGTTAGTGGTGTCCTGCAGATGTGCAGTAAGGTTTCGGAATTTTTATTTTCACCCTGAGGGTCAAATGGGGGTTGAAAAATGATGTTTTTTATGCAAAAAGCCCCTGGTTCCCTGAACTCCTCTTACATTTTACACAGTAGCCTAATCATCTTTTGGGGGATGGTTAGTGGTGTCCTGCAGATGTGCAGTAAGGTTTCGGAATTTTTATTTTCACCCTGAGGGTCAAATGGGGGTTGAAAAATGATGTTTTTTATGCAAAAAGCCCCTGGTTCCCTGAACTCCTCTTACATTTTACACAGTAGCCTAATCATCTTTAGGGAGATGGTTGGTGGTGTCATGTTGATGTGCAGTAAGGTTTCGGAATTTTCATTTTCACCCTGGGGGTCAAATGGGAGTCGAAAAATGATGTTTTTTATGCAAAAATCCCTGGTTCCCTGAACTCCTCTTACATTTTACACAGTAGCCTAATCATCTTTTGGGAGATGGTTGGCGGTTTCCTGCAGATGTGCAGTAAGGTTTTGGAATTTTCATTTTCACCCTGGGGGTCAAATGGGGGTTGAAAAATGATGTTTTTTATGCAAAAAGCGCCTGGTTCCCTGAATTCATCTTACATTTTACACAGTAGCTTAATCGTCTTTTGGGAGATGGTTGGTTGTGTCATGTAGATGTGCAGTAAGGTTTCGGAATTTTCATTTAAATGATGGGGTCAAATAGGGGTCGAAAAATAACATTTTTTATGCAAAAAGCCCCTGGTTCCCAGAACTCCTCTTACATTTTACACAGTAGCCTAATCATACGGGAGATGGTTGGTGGTGACCTATAGATGTGCAGTAAGGTTTCGGAATTCTTATTTTCCCCCTGGGGGTCAAATGGGGGTAAAATTTTTTTAAAAAAAATATTTAACATGTTTAAACATCCTGGTTCCCAGAACTTCCCTTATATTTTATGCACTAGCCTTAAATCATGATCATTTGGAAGATGATTGATTTTGTCCTGTGGATGTGTAAATGGTTTTAAAATTTTCATTTCCATGTGGATAGCAAATAGGGGCAGGAAAAAAATGGCCCCTCCCTAACCCATGGGGTCATGATTTGTCAAACTTGAATCTACACTTCTTGGGAATGTTTCCATATTAATCATGCTTTTGTTGTTCTTAAAAAGAAGAATTTTGAAGATTTTTTTTTCCTTTTAAATCTCTATAAAACTTTGATCCCTTATTGTGGCCTGACCCTATCCTCGGAGGTCATGATTTGAAAACTAGAAATATGTCCATAGGACATAAATGCCCCGCCGAATGTATATTACTAATGCAACATGAAAATTTGTACGAGTGTATGAAGTTTGATGAGAATATCTTGAACAGTTTCTTTAAAATTGAAACTAAAATCTAAAAAAAATGGATATAGATGATAAATTCTCACAAAATTATGTATAAGTGCATGCTTACATAAACATATCTTAGATTGTTTCTTTAAAACTAAGCAAAATACAAATTAAAGAGAAGGGAGGTCAATGTCACAGGACAGTGCAAGGTGAAAAGTTTTTGATGTAGTTGAATAGCTCTCACTAATACATATCAGCATATTAGGTTTGATAAAAATATCTTGAATGATTTATTTAAAACTGAGCTTAACACTTATTTGAGAAAAGAGAAGTCAAGGTCAAAGGAAAGGTTGAGGTTAAAATGCTGATGCAGTTGAAAAGTTTATATCAGTATGTATTTACTATTAGCATAGAAGTTCAATAAAAATATCAGAAATGGTTTATTTAAAACGTAGATAAACACTAATTTAAAAAAGTGAGGTCGAGTCAAAGGAAAAGTCAAGGTCAAAAAAGTTGATGCAATGATATCTCTCAGCAGTATATATCAGCATATGAAGTTTGATAAATATATCTTGAATTGTTTATTCAAAACTGATCTAGACACTAATT